AAACTGACTTAAATAACTTTTAAGTAGTACATACTATTTTTTTTTAAAACACTGAGGAGGTATAAATTCATCTCTTTCTGGATTTACTGTGACACCCCTCCCCATTCCCTTGCTCTCACACACACACACTCGCTCAGATGCATTGCAACCTCCCCTGCTGCACTAAGTGGGTATAGATCTCCTTTTAGAAACTGGAAAACTGACATATAAAATGGATAAAGAGCTTCTGAGGATGTGTTTCGAGGAGGCAAATCTGAAATCCTGTTTACTTGACTAGCAACACAAAGAAGTTGGCTGTGAATGGTATTCACAGTAAAGAATAACTAATTCCTCATCCTGAGGATATTCTGTTGTGAAATAAGTCACTGTGTCGCAATTATTATTGCATCCAGTGGCACCAGTGAAAAGTCACGATAGAGAAGCACATGGGAAACTACTCTGGATAACCCCTCAATTACCCCATGCAAACAGACCTGCAACAACAGCTCTCCACTGCTTCCTTGAGAGATCTTAAAAGAAATGGATTTAAATTTTAACCCTTTCTCTTTAAGTTTTCTGTGTTTTGTGACTCCAGGTTTACCATAGAAATAATCTGAATCTGCACCCTGTATATGGACTTGACTACAGTAAATCTAGGACAAAGGTCTGCATCCGTAGAAAAGAAGCCATATCAAACCACACCGTTGCAGGCATTGGGAACAGCAGCAACACTCCAGTCCTGAACATCACTTAACTTCACCTCTTCCACTGTATTCACTCCTAAGAATGAATTCTTTCTATTAACATTGGGAGATAGTTAGGCAAGTTCCTACCTTTCTAATGTTCCTGAAAAGTATACTTTCTTAGTCCCATGTTTGATATGGGAAAACACTGATTTCTAAATGCTTTCATAAAGTGTTTATGCTAATCACATGCCTTTTACGGAATTTAAAATTCCTGTCTTCTTACAGCAAAAGATATGAGAAATACAAAAACATTTTTAAAATAATCTTGAAACATCCACAGATTCCTCTGCTAATTATTAGAATTTACTCCCAAACAGACTGTCTCGAAACTTTAAAATATTTTCACTTACCAGTTTTTTTTAAATAAATTAATTCTGCAGCTCTTTGGTATAAGAAGGAACCATCAAAATGTAACCCAATACGCTGTGTTTTTGACAGACTAATGGTAGCACCAAGCGTGATCTTCCACTCTTCCATTCAAAAAAAGTGTTAATGCAAAAGCCTAAATATTGTCATTACACTTAAATGCTAAGATTATTAACCTCTCCATGGCTGATGTTCAGTCTTGCTAAGGATAATGAATGCACTTGCATCTGTTCTAGATGTTCTAGAATAACGCTGTAGTTTTTTTAACTGTGCAAATAGTTGCCAATGATTTTGCACATGCCACAGCTCCGCATTTCATTTACAGCCCTAGTTTGCGAAGCGCTGTGGATTTCTAGAGTGAAGGATCCCACAGAGCCAACACATTTCGTACATAACTGTTTGTAACTTCACCTGCTCTCTGCGAGAATGTAACGGCTCGATTCCAATCCCTCCCACACAAGCAGGAGTATGAAATCCTGCACAGGCATTGCTCAGATTGTAGATTTCATGCGAGCAGGATATACGTCTATGTCCAGAATAGGCTGAAAATTTAAAAACTGAGTTCAGTACAATTAAAACATACCTTCATTAATTCTATAGGAAACTTGTTTCTGCATTTGTTCTCAAGGCAGATTTCTTGAGTCCAAGCAAAGGATGTAACAGTGATCTTTGAAAAAAGTTTTATTTCAGGCAGTGTCTCCTTCTACGCTGCTGGCTCTCTGATGGAAAATACCCTCGTGTTTGGAGAAGAAAAGGCTGTATCTGTATTTGTAAAAGGCTGGATTCATCACTTTCGGCTTGCAGTGGGTCTCTCCCCGTCCAGTGGCGCGTGCCTGTTCACACCCCTTTCCACGAGCTCTGCCCACAGTTCATGAGCTTCAGGATAAAGTTCAGCCCCAGGAAGCTGAAAACTGCATGGAGGATTTTGTCTGGGTGTCTGAAAACCAGTATCTCAGGAAAAGCATCAACAAGCCAATACTACGGAGATGAGCTTTCAGAGAGAACAAGGTAGTTTATATGGAGGCATCTCTCTGTGACCCCTCAGGGACTTGCTCACCAACTTTACTCATGCCCTGACTTACGGCAAACGAGGAGGATAACTTGAACTTAAATACTGTAAACCTTTAAGAATGGCGTTTCTCCCCTTTCATGGCACAGAATTCTCCTTCCAAACAACTCAAAGAGAATAACTACTTCTAATGACGCAGCTGCAATTCAACTCTGAAGATGCCAAACACAATTCCGATGCCGGCAGCAGCTCACCTGCTCAGGAGCCCTCGCTTTTTTGTCAGACTCGCACCACACACCTGTCTGGGAAGGCTGAGGGAGGCCTGTTCCTGGGAACAGGCTCATCCCGCTTCCCCTCCCAGAGCTGTCCTCGCACTGCCTGCTCTGGAGAGCACCGGGGACCAGAGTGATCCCCAGCTGAGATGAAAGGGGACCTGCTGCTGTCCCCCCTGCCTATCACCGTGTACCCTGCAGACACCACTGATCTCAACACCTTCTCTCGGACCTCCGCGTTATGGGACTGCGTCTCCTCGCCGAGCTGCCAACAGGAATGCTCCTACCCGAAGGGTAGCAGCGCAAACAGTGAGAAGCAAGACTACAGGCTTGCCAGGTTTCACCAGGAACGTTACGGAAGGAGTTGAGCTGAGGTTATTAAACACGCTGGGTGTTCATTTGTAAAGTGATTACCCCCAACTCCGGCATGGCTGTTCCTGAGCAAAGGGGCAGCCAGGGGCTTACCAGCCGGCCCAGAGGCCA